CATTTTCAAGCTCTTTAAGACGTATCAAATAATTCAACTTATCAGCACAATGTTTATTGCCAAATTGTAAATAGGAATCTTGAGAATTATTATACTAAAATGAAAAACCAAATGTATACAAAATACAAAATTCAAGACCGTATTTATAAAGTTAGGAAATATAAATTGCAAAGATTGATCATGGGTTTAATTATTATTATATACTGCCTTGTAATATATTTTCTGTACTTTTCAACAATATATTACCTTGTGTTGTATATATTTGGTGTTCTTGAAAATACTTTTCCTGCTGGTGAAGTTTTACCTCTTGGACCAAAAGAATTTTTCAAGTTAAATAATCTTTTAACAAATACAACTATCAATATAATTGAGGCTGCAAGATTGCAGTCTAATGCTATTGCTAGAAATAAAATATATAATTGTAAGGGTAATTGTCTTACAACAAAATGTTTTTACAAAAGAGCAAATATTATATATAAAAGCAGATGTTATTCAAAAAATACAAAATACAAACACAAGGCTTGAGAGTTGTGAAATCAATGAAAATTATATAATAATTTACTAAAGAAAATTTTGTTACTTTTATTCAAACTATATTTTTTAAGATTATATTATGTATTATAAATTAAATATTAGAAACACTTTATTTTAAAAAAATTAGATATATATTTTTTAATAAAATATTAGATTAAAAGCTTTTAGTTAACTTTTTTTACTATTAAAATATAATTAAACAATATTATTAGATATTGTTATATATTATAAACTTAAGAAAATTAATAATAAATTAGTTAATAAAATATATTAAAAGTATTATTATATTACAAATTAATATATATAAAATAAAATTTTTTAATTAAAAAATTATTTAAAAAATTAACTTGCAAAAGATCATTGTCAAAATAATTTATTTTATTATTAAAATTATAAAATAGATGTTTCTTTGAATTAAATATATACATTGTTTATTTAATTTAATATAACAAACTTTGGTCATAATTCATTACAAGTCAATTGGATCAAATTGTTTTATTAAACTTATAAACTGAAATATTAAACTTAAAGATTCTAATTAAAATATATAAATTTAATTTAATTGACTTATAAGTAACCAACACCTTCTATATTATTTATTAGTTAAGATTTCTGTTATAATAATATTAAAACTATAAATATTTGCACTTGTATAAGCAGTTAATTTATAATATTAAACTCTGATTCTATATAAAAAATAACTCTATAAACATAACCTTGTCAATATTATACAACTTGTGATTATTATTATTAATTTGGATATTATATATATAAATTATACATAATAATTAAAAAACTAAACACAAATTTAAAATTTGTATATTGCTAGCATTGGCCAATTAAAACATAATTATCTAACTACAGTATAGATTAATTTAATTAGTCAATTTATATTATACAAAATTTTTGTTTTATTATGACAATTAATAAACTTTGGTTTGTTATAACTTTCTCAAAATATGAGATATCAAAATCTGTTTTACAGATTTGAGTGTCGCTAAAAGAAAACTCAAAAATTTAAATATAAATCATATTTAAATTTTCAGATTTTCTTTTAACGACACCCATTTATAGCTTAGATCATTTATATATTAAAGTAAACTTGTTGATAGAAATAAATTAAATATATCCTAAAATTTTGGTCTAAATCAATTAAATTTTATTGATTAAATTATTTTAAATGATAATATTTTTTTTTATTTTCTTTTTTTAATAATAAAAATTAATAGTAAACATTTTACTTAATGCACTAAATCAGGTTTAGATAATTTTTAAATATATATAGATGCAAAAAAGCAATACATAAATTGTCAATTTTGTGCAAGTTATGTACCATATATTATCTGTTATAATGGTTTAAATGTAAAAATTTACCGTATTATCGCGACATAATGTTCGTGGGCGTTATTTTAAAATCTATTAGCTGCTCGATACGAAAGTATCGAAGCAGCATCTTGTCTCGAATCGAACACGGGAGTATGAATTAATTGATCGAATGATCGTGATTGGAGTTACGTATTTGTGGAGTATTCTTCGATTAGAGCATATCGATATAGTTACGTAATTTTCGATCTGGTGATCTTATAGTTAGTTGTAGTAACGACGTAATTATGTCGTTAGAGTTTATTATCTGTTATAGTATTACGTATTTTTTTAATTTGTAATTCGTTAGGGCATATTTAAAGGGAACGGGTTTTTTCCCAGACAAGATAATTTTTGTTTTTTCTGCTAACCCGACTTTGGTTTTTCGTCCCGCCCGCTCTCACCCCTCATAGGGTGGCCTAACGAGCATTAGTTTGAATCTTAGGTTCGGCCTGTCGGACGACAGTCAAATCCAAGTTTTTTTTTAGTAGGTGGCCTGTCGGAACAACAATCACAGAAATCGCATATTTGTGTACATTACGCTCGGTATTGTTAGTGATTAGAGCGTAACAAATGAAAAAGAGCAAAAACTTCGAAATACGATAGTCAGGAACTTGGTTCACAACTCATGAGTTTATTGACACATTTATCGATGCTCTCGAAGTCTGCATCAAACAGCTCCTCGATGAGAGACACAATGTTCCTCAAAAATAGCATACGTGGCCTCGAATTAATGCCCATGGGCGTCCCGAATTAAGGCGCTTCCCAGTATAACTAGTGACAATAACTGCTAGCCGTGTAAATATATCAGGGGTCTCAGCGTTTTAGTCTAAATATTTAAAGTAAATCATTCAAGTTCGCCACTTTTTTCGACATAGCACACATGAGCGTACTCAAAATAACGCGCAGGATGAGCATTATTTCGTGCTTACGGTATATAGTCAGAAAATACTAGTTAAATTTTTTAAAAAATATATATATTTTTTGCCATTACTTTTCGTGGGACTTTAAGTCAGGTTTTCGAAATTCTAATTTAAAGTCTCCTCAGCGCCACGTTTACAAATTTAAATTATTTTATTTATTAATTTATTTCAACCTTCTTAAAATTAATAAAATATAAGGTAAAGATACCTATTTCCGTGGATTAAATTTATTAGTAATTTATATATAAAATAAAAAAAAGCAATTTTTTAAAAATATAAAATTGAAATTTCTGAGATTACTTACTAAATAAACAATTCTTGGAGAATTAATAAAAGTTGTAGCAACCACAATGCAGTTCTAATGACAGTAAAATGCTAAATCCGGTCTAGTATATCAAAAGTTATGAGCGATTTACGTTTTGCGATCATATAAAATTTTTATATAGATCTACAAAGAAATGATCGTGAAATGTAAATCGCTCATAAACCGAATTTAATGTTTTTACCATCATTAGAACCACATTGACGGTGGCTACAAGTTTTATTGATTCTTAAGAGCCGTTTACTTAATAAATAATTTTAGAAATTTCAATTTTATATTTTAAAGATTGTAAGAAATTTTCTTAAAATTATACTTATTTAATTAATAATAAAATTTTAGAAAATAAATAGATAAATAATAATTAAATAAAAAAATTTAAAATTTTTTTAATAGTTTATATTGTATCCACGGAAATAGGAAAGAGGGTATTAAATTTTATAAATTTTATTTTCTAATACCAAAAAAAAAATTTATATTATATAGTATAATTTAATTTGTATATTTTTAAATAATAAATTAATTGTAAATTTTATATTTAAAGTTTTATAAAAAAATATTAATTTTTGAAAAAGTTTTATATGTAGCAAAAAAAAGTCACCGGAAATAGGTATCTTTACCTTGATTGATATTTATTTATTTCGTAATTATTAAAATCATTACTTTCCATGCAATAGCAATTACTTTTCTATCGTTGTATTCTTTATATACCCATGATTACTATTGCTGTCCTAGACTAGTTAGTCTGAAGCACTTCCGAATCGATAGTGACATATGATTAAAATCATTACTTTCCATGCAATAATTACTTTTCTATCGTTGTATTCTTATATACCCCATGATTACTATTGCTGTCCTATACTAGTTAGTCCGATTCGATAGTACAGTAACACCGGCTTGACATATGGAGGAAAAACTGTCTTCAAGGAAGATTTTAAAAAGAATGTGATTAAAGTGTGATAAACGAAATTTCAATTCCAAATTTTGATTTATTCATAGATATTGATATTGTTATAAATTTTTTATACGCACGAGCAAGGTCCCATACTTAAATTCAGTTCTCCAAGTTAAATTGACAATCTTCTGATTGGTTGTTATTCAACTTTTAGAGTGCTATGTCTTGAAGAATTGGTTTTTCAAATCTAAAAATCTCAATATCTTATTAAGCTGATGTAAAATAAAAAGTATACTTCATGTAAACAGGAACCAATACCTTAATTTGAAATAAAAATCTTAAATCGAATTCTCCATTTGTAGATTCGTAATATATCATTTTGACTGTTTCGTCCTATCTTATCCTATTTTTTCTGTCTCGTCTTGTTCTCGTCCTGTCTTATCCTGTCTTATCTCGTCCTGGCGTCCTTTCAAAATATTTCAATTTGTAGCTTATCAAAAAAAAAAACAGGTGTGTATGTAAAAAATTTTAAACATTCGCTGGTCAAGATCAAAAACTTCGACATGTTGAGTGGTATCATTCAACTGCCATTATACATGCCATTCAACACGTCATTCGACCAAACATGTCGAATGTTGGTGATTATTGGCATATTGAATGGTGCCACTCATCATATCGAATTTTTTTTATTTTGACTAATGATTTCTAATTAAAAGTTACGTAGAAATGGGTTATCTTGAGCTATTGACCTTTACAGAAATTTCACTTTTTTTCTAATTTTGTCCCAATTGCTCCGTGTACAACACTGCAGCAAGTTGAGATAAAACTATCCTTTGTGTTCTAAAACCGAACTTTAATCTTAAACCGAGATCTATGTGACACAACTTTTTCGAGAATTTTTACGGCATACGTTCGTACGAACGTACGTACGTACGTACGTCTGCATATGCAAATATATCACGAGGTGATGTCACAGATCGGTTTATTTTAGGAAGGAGGTTGATGAGTTGAATTCAATTAATTAAAGTCTTAATCAGCATTAAAGTCTTAAGTAACTAACAGCTGGTATGCATTGACTCAATAATAGCAATAATAAGAAACTCAACCATTACCCAAGTCAAGGTTGAAATCTAGTTATTTATTATATATAACAAGAATATAATTAATAATTAATTTAAAGAACATCAAAATCCTGCTGATAACATGTATCTTTGAAACGGTTGACATGAAATTAATTGAAGTTAAAATTACATAATGAGAAATGCAGTGGTTTTACTTAAACACCCTGCAGATTCAGCACGATTATGCAATTTCGGATTTATCTCTATGCATTCCAGTAACAATATGTGAAGATGTAATGTCGTATCATCAAATAAAGCAACAAAAAAAAGCGATACAAATACTTTTTTTGAATATTTAACAGGATTCGGCCGGGGCGGTCATAGATGTTTGAAACAGGTAAGAATTATATTGAACTATCGTTATTATGCAAATTTATAATAAGGATTGTGATTCCGATCAACTCCGACCTGACAAAATCATTTAATTGAAAATCATCAATAGTTATTGGGATTCAAAAGAGAATAAGAGAATAATTGAGAAAAACAATCAGAGCAAATTTAGTAATTACATAAAGTATTGGTTTGTTCTATTTGCCTTTTTTTTTTTCTTTTTTTTTTTTTTTGATTTTTGTTTGTGCTATTCTTGAAACTGTTTCACGGAAAACCCCCGGAGAAACGAAAATCATATCGACATCGACAGCCACGTTGCTATATATGCTATGTATATGGTTACATGAAAAATAAATAATGTAGATTTACAAACTGTGGTATATCCCGTATATCCAAAATATCGATTTAAACTAGATTTAGTTGATAATTGCAATAAATCATAATAAGAATAGTGCATAAGTATGTTTACTATTTCTGTACCAATCTCATTATCTGATGATTCTTGATGTTTAGTCTAAGAAAATGGGAAAATAATGTATGATATTAAAACCTAAAAAAATTCTTGAAACGAATCATGTGAATATAAAATTATTTTATCATTGTATGTATGCTCTATTAAGACTTGTTTGATCAATAAGAGAAAGAAATGTTTGCTCTTTTCTCCACATCCAAACTTTGATTATATTATTACCTTCTTATCTGCGTAAATGCAAATTACGTATATGTATATGATTAATAACGAATTTGTTGCATTTTTTTTTAAAAAAAAATATTAAAGCCGTAAGTTATGTCAACTCTTAAACACTTATTAAGACGATATTGTTTTCGCATTTTATAGGTGGCACAAAAAATGGGTGGTTATTTAAGTGACCGAAACAGGAATTCTGGGGTGTTGTGTTCACTTTCCATACTCGAACAATCATTCAATTATTGGATACTGAGTTGAAAAGAAAAAGCGGTGTTATCGTTATAAATGAAAAAAGGAACTCCTGCCTCGGCTCAGATTATTTTAATGTGTAAACTAAATAGGCATAGTGTGTTACTGTTTGAATATTGCACATTTTTCATGCAAATGAATCGAATAAGCATAATATTATAAACAACGCATTCTATATACACATTATATTATAAAACAACACAATATATTTACACATTATATAATTATTTGTATGAAAAATTTCTTATAAAAAGAAGTCCTTTTTTCAATGGTTTTCTACAACCCGTGCTAGGAATTCACCTTTACGTGTACATTTTTTAAAAAAAAAACTATCAAATTCCCAAGAATTAAAAAATCAAATTTTGTAAAGTAAAATGGCTGGTCTAGTTACTTTCAAATTTTTAGGATATGATATCATTGCTGCTATTGCAGAATTCTTTGGAACTGCATACTTTTTATTTATGGGTAATTATCATTATGAAAAATGTTTGATTTTGCGCGTCTCTTTCGACAATGGTTGATATAATTTGTTAATTTGTTTATTTGTAGGTATTGGCGGTGCCATGGCTTTTAGTACTTCAATGATGTACTTATAGATATTTTTTTTATTGTCACCATACTATAAAGTTTTTAGGTTTTTAATATTCCCGCTCTCTTTTTTTTTATAGTGCTGGTCTTGGCATTCCGTTTTCATTCGGATGGTCACTCATGGCAAATGTCTTCATTTGGAGTCCAATTTCGGGAGGAGTATTCAATCCTGCCATAACTATTGGTCTGATGGCCATCAAAAGGTTGACAATTGTACGAGGTTTTCTGTATATAATAGCTCAATTCTTGGGCGCTCTCTTTGGAACATTCATGATTAGATCTCTCCTACCTGGTGATGCTGTTGGTGCCACTGTATTGGTATGTTATTATTATTATTATTATTATTTGTATTTGTCTTGTTTAAAAACATTTAACTAATTACTGAATTATATTTTACAACTGGTTACTCAATTTCTTCAAGAACCCCCAAACATCAGTTGCTCAAGGTTTCTTTCTGGAAATGTTTGCTACGTCTTTCTTAACCTTTGCTGTGCTCTTTATTGCCAGCGAATCAAGAAATCAAGGTTTCATGGGTCCATTTGTAGTTGGTATTTCCTTATTCGTCTCAGCACTGTCCGGTAAGTTTTCACGCTTTGCAATTGTTTCAATTCATACTTGTTGCTAACTTACCTTTATATTATTCATAGTTGGTCCATTTACCGGCGCTAGTTTGAATCCTGCACGAACCTTTGGTCCTGCCGTAGTTTTCGGAACCTATGGTAATGGTCATTGGATTTATTATATTGCTACCATTGTGGGTAGTTTACTGGCTGCTGGATATTGGCATTTGTTCGATAAATTGGATTTTAAAACTGTATCGGTAATATATCAAGTTCATTTGCAGATGTTATACAATTTTAATAATTATCGTCAAGGTTATTTACAATTCCTATTTTTTTTTTTTTTTTTTTTTTTTAATAGAAAACCGGTGCTGTTGAAGACGAAAAACATGACATTGATGAAGGCCCAAAGGTGTAAATTGGGGCACCAATTACCTTCAGCGAAGGGAAAAATCATAGTTTTTTTTTTTTTATAACATTATTTCATTTTTAATCATTAATGTCTGTATAAAATATCTCTATTCCACACTCTGTAATATACAAAATTGCAATAACTTCGTGATGTATGCGTATATTAAGTCCATATTGTATGCGTAAATACACGGGTGATTCATTCTTTTTAAAAAAATACACGCATATATTTGTGAAGAAAAATTAGTTTATCATACCCTATCGAAAATCCATACTACTTTAAAACAAAACAATGTTTATTCGCAGTAAATCTCTATACATGTAATTAATAAAAATTGCTGTGCAACAACGCAAAAATTATTCTTTTCATTTCTAAATTGGTCTTAGATGACTATCTTGTATAATATTTTTATTCGTTACACATAAACATTCTCCATATCTGATATACATTACCAATTACGGATAAGTCATTCGAATCATAAATACGGAATTAAAAAATAAACACTCCTGTCTTTTTATTTTTATTATCCGGAGCGTAGCGGAGGGGAGTAGTTTATGTCCGCACCTATTTTTAGATAGATGATCATCAATATATTTACCTTTATTTTGTAACTACATTCCGGATATCTAACAGTATCTGTCTTCCTAGTTTATTAGTGTAAATGTAACCAATGTTGATCACGTAGGGATATTAATTGGTCCTTAACGTTAAAGACCGAGTTCTTGATCCTACACAAGGACAATTCTGGACCAGTACACTGTATGTGTGTGTGTGTGCACATCTGAGATGCGAGATTTGCAAAAAAAGTTGTTACTACGGCCGATATAGGATGGTTAAATTCTAAAAAAAGAATCATAGGCGATTATCATTATCAACAAAGAAATTTCCCAACATTAAAGTGCATAGTATTGATATCCATTAATGAAGAGCTAATAAAATCACGTGCCAACATCTCATTGGTTATCTGATGCAATTTTGTTTTCTTTACTAAACTCGATCAATAAAACTCAATGAAGCTAACTTTAGTAAAAAAAAAAAGGAAAAAAAAACTTCTATTATGCTATTGGCTACTGTTTTCTAAAAAAAAACTATTTGACGAATTAAATCAAAAAACTAGATAATGTGTCTGATAAGTATAACACATTATGCATCTCACAGCAAAGAATACTTAGTGGATCAAAATTTTGATTAATCATATCTGACATAATAATTTGTTTTTTCGTTTCTTTAGAATATAATAGTGTCCTATATTAAATTTGGATGACGCCAAAAGTTTATTGTTGATTATTTTTCAGATTCAGCCCTGACTTGCGCCATATATGATGCATAATTTTACTTTACGTATCGTATCATACATGTCTCTAATCAGGACAACAGCAGAGACCGTTAATGTTGCACATATATTAAAACTGGTGAGGGATTATATCCATCACAATTGAATCCAATATAAATAATTGTCGCGGCTGATGCTGAAATTGGCTGATGCTGAAATTTGGGGTTCCAATTTTAAAATATAGGCCCTGCTAGAATC